AGTCCAGGAGGAATGCTCTACAGAAGGGTCTTTCAGACCATCTTTTGAACCCTGCTTGGGACTTAAAGTGATGCAGCTCTGCCCAGCATGTAGGATGTACCACTGTTTCTAAGGACCACCATTATCTCATGCTGGCCTTGCTGCCTCGGTTTATAATCTGAAAGCATGTGAAATTTCTCCCAACAAGGAGCCAGCATTCCTTCCTTCCTCCTCCATCCAGACAGGAAGTTCTTAGGCAGAACACAGCCCCACTGGCCTGGCCTGGGCACACACTCTGAAAAGTGTGTCCTTCCAGAGTCAGCATGGCTGGGTGTGCATTACACTGACTAGGATGGAGTTGTAAAGCTTCCCTGTGGAAGGAGATGGGGCTACTGTCAAACAGGCCCCCTGGAAAAGCCACCAAGCAGAAGGTGTGGCAAGGCCTGGTGGTACCCTTAGAGCAACAGGCTTCCACTGCCCACCTGCTGCCTGGCTTCAGTCCTCTATGTTCATGGGTTAGCCATGGCCTTGGCCTCGGCCTGGTATCCCCGGGCAGTTCAGCCCTCCCTCCCCGGCCTCACATTCAACCCAAGCAGCCACACGGGCTCCTGGGGCTGGCCTGTCCCAGAGGAAATTTAGGAAGATGGTAACCAGCACAGTGACAGTCTCTGTGCTTGGAGGACACGCATGCCCACTGTGTTTTGGATGGCCCTTGCTTATGAATTCCAGGACGATTGCCACAAGTCCTGCTGCTGAGGGTGTTTGTACTTTCTGGACTAAGGCCCAAGTCCAGGGACTGAGTCCCACCTTCCGTCTGCCTCCCTGTCTCTGCAATGTGAGTGCCAGTGTGAAGTGGACTCTGATGTCTCAGGACTTGGACCCACAGAAGCTAAAAGCAGGTGGGCAGGTAAGTCAGGAGCTCAGGGAGATGTGGCTAGACGGTTCATTCCACGCTCCAGTCTGCCACCAGCTCTCTGTGGGTCTCAGCCCAGCAGGGTCTCAGCCCTTCATGTCTCTGACAAATGTCATCTTACAAAGATGAAGTCAGACAGCAACGATGGAATATCTTTAAGGACGACAAAGCATGAAGTAAGGGTTGCCTGTACTGTTTTGTAGCTCCGTGGTTTCATCCTCTCGACATGCTAGGTGTATTAACTGTTTGCGTTTTAGGTCGTTGTGACCCATTTAATGTCAGCTGGGTCCTCAGTGACTTGTGTCCATACAGTGAACTGCACAGTTGAGTTAGGCCACCTAGGCTGGACCACTGCCCCATGGTCGCTGGACGTCCCTTCCAGCCTGTGAGACTACACTTGAGGGAAAGTGAGAGGATGCCGGGCTCTGCTTCCCTCTTATACAGCACAGAGAGGCCTCTGCAGTGGACAAGCACTGAGCCGGCAGAGTGGAAACGCGCGGCCTTGCCATTCCCAAGAAGTCATAGCCCACAGTGTACCCCGATGTCCAGAGCTGCCCTCCCTCTGCAGATACTTGCTGTGGGGAAGAAAGGCAGGAAGATTTGGCCAGTGAGCACATACATAGCTGTGGTCAGACCCTGCCCAGATACTTCTCTGATTGTGTCCCCGAGGTGCCTGGTTATGAGGTGCCTATAACCACCTCGCAGCTTGCTCTAGGACACCAGCCAGAAAGTAAGGTGAATCCGAATTCAACCCCAGGCTTGTGGACTTCGGAGCCCTCTCCTAATAGGTAACCGCCCTGGAGTGGATTCCTCATGGAGCTGAAGCCATTCATGAATTGCACGGAGGGTTCCAGGCTCTGCTTCCAGATCTCCACAGCCAAGCAGCTAGGTGTTGATAAGGTCTGATGTATCTGACTGTCAGGAAGTGAGGCTGTGCCTGCAGGAGCACTTGGCAAACTGTACAACAATCTACAAATGGTATACTAAGTAATCATCTCCAATTTACATGCGAGGTTCCTAACATCAGAGAGGTGAAGTGGTGTGAGAAGGGCACAGGCAGCCCAGGTCCTACAACTTCAGAACCCTATGTTTTCTTCCCTTGACAGTGTCAAGACTGAGATAATCTGTTTCCCTGAAGTAGTTGCCAAATGAAAATCTGGTGGAGAATACAAAAGAGACTCTGCTGACTTCTTGGTCCTCTTTTCTTGCTTTGGCCTTTTTCTTCTTGCTTCTGGCCTGTTTGTGGCTTATGAGAAGCTCCCTAAACATTAGTCCCTTACAGGCAATATCCTTCACATTGCTGCTGCATCCGCCAACTATCAGAAAACTCCTACCACCCTCCCAGAGGCTCCGCAGCTCCTGACGGGAAGTAAGAACCTAGCTATTGCACTTCCTGCAGCAATGGGTGGGCTCTGCTTTTCTCCTAGGACAGTGCTGGTGAACCTATGATGTCAGTGCCCCAGTGGGCAGCTTGTATCATTGAAAGAGCTAAAATGCTCACCATCTCTGTCCTAAGATATCTTTCATATTTTCCGTACTTTCCTATTTTTCAGTGTCTTTGTCTTTCCAAGTTACACTTCAGTGAATTTATTTTGGCCTAGTTTACAGGTCACTGTATCTAATATATTATTCAATCTCCTTAGGGATTTTAATTTCAATCACTTATGTTTTATTTTTTAAATTTTTGGTCCATTTTCCAAATCTTCTTGGTAATTCTTTATGTATTTTGTTCCCTGTGCATATCTTCAAGTTTGTATCTTTAATTTCTTGAAATGCATTATGATCATTAGAACAGGCAACATCTGGATGCTCTTTTTGTGAAAAAATCTTGGACCAGTGAATCCCTTCCTTTCTTGTGAGATCATCGGTGATTTTAGACACATTTTTTAAAAGGGAATATTTATTTAAGACTTTCAGTATTTTTCATTGGGAGGTCCAGTCTAGGTACTTAGCTGAGCATGATACTCACATATTTATTTAAAATTGAGAAGATTATGTGAAGGAAATGTCATCGAATAGGGGCAGGCACTGGGAGTCTGGGATTGCCGGCAAAGGTACTGCATGGCAGTCCAGGGTGCACCCGCAATCTTCACGTGGGCCACGTGTCCACCTTTCTCAGTTTGAACCTCCGTGACTTCCTGTGACTTGTTGGGATAGAGTTCTGAATCTCTACCTTTTTAACCTGATCTCCCGCCTGTCTCTGCCACGTTGAGATTGTTCTCCGTCTGCTCTCCTTCTGTTTCTGGAATACATAAAAAGCTTCTAGCCACAGGGGTCCCACCTGCTCTCCCCCTCCCTGGCACCCCCTCTCATTCCTCTTGCAGATGCAGTGGGTGTCCCCCACCCTCCTGTGCCCCCCACGGCCGCGTCTGTCTGTGTCCTCCTCATCAGAGCACTTCCTCAGTTGTAATCCCACAGTTATTTTCATAATCTGTATCCATTTCCCCTCTTCTTACCTCTGACGGGCAAGGGCCCTATTGCGTGTGTGCTGCTTTCCCCTGCCGTCCCAGCGCAGAGCACAAAGCCTGCGTTGGCACATGGTGCTCACCTAGGGAGTCGATCTGCAGCTACCTCTGCCTCCTGCTTTTGCCCACCCCCCTTCCCGACTGGACCTCCGAGCTCCCACGGGACCCTTTCAGTGGCAGGCCAAGAATTTCTTCTTAGTTTCAGTAGTTGTCACCTTTGTACCACATAAAACTGCTGCCAACTGTTCTGCAGTGTTCTCCTCCCTTTGATTTTGAGTTTTATTTCCTTCCTCTCCCCCTATTTCTCTAAGCACTGTTTCTGAGCCCCCATGTCCCTTAAATATCAGTGTCCCCACAAAGCTGCCTCTCTTTTCTCCCTCTCTCCCATGCCATGTGAGGAGCCTCACTTGTGTCTGCGGCATCAGCCAGCACATTTGAGCTGTGAATCCCAGACCTGTAGGTGTAGTTCTGAGCCCCGTCCTGAGCCCCTGCTCTTTTCTCCCACCGAATCCTGAACACCCTTGGGACCCCAGCCTTGGCTTTGGTCCAGTGGAGTGAGTTCTTTTCCTTTCTGAACCTGTTGCTTTTCCAGCATCTCCAGCCTGACTAAACAGTTCCACCAACATCCTGCCCTCAGGAGCCCGGATCCAGGAGCCATCTGAACTCCTCTGCCCCTCTGTCCCCCTTGTCCATCACTACCACTCTGTCTGAGGCTCCGTCCCAGCTCTTCCTCTCTGCACTGCCCTCAGTGCAGCCCCTTATGGTTGTCTGGACCACTGATCCCCTCTTACCTGGCTGCCTTCTGCCGTCTTCTCTATTCCTGGCTCCAAGGCCAGAGATCTTGTCAAAGAACAGTTGGATCAGGCCGTTTGATCAGCTGCGTCCTTCCCACCTCTCTCCCTGATGCCTGCTCAACAAAGCTGGTGTGGGCCTCTCCAGCACTCTCCACGTGGCTGTGTAAGGGGTGTGAGCCCTGGGGCAGCAGTGCTGGGCTCCAACTCCCCCACCACTCCCTGTGCCCTTCACCGTTCCTCATCCAAGAAGTGGAGTGAATACTGCAAGCTGCCTTGCAGGTTTGGAGCAGGATTAAGTGGGATAATACTCCGACAGCATTTCAAATACACCCTGGTTCATTGTAACAGGAACAATTGACTGCCGCTGTTCATAATTATTTTTGTCATTGTTCTCACTCTTGATTATGAATGCCTATCTGCTCCACTGTGTTTTGCTTGCAATTTTCTACTCTCTCTTCAAGAATTAGTTTTTTTCTTGAGGAGCTTTGTGCCAGCTCTGGCCTAGCCATGCCTTGCTGACCCTGTCCTCCGTGCTCCTGCAGAGCAGCACCCAACCTTCATGGTATCTGCTCTGTAGCACCCTCCTATTCGCCTTGTCTGCCCTGCTGCTTGTTCCAAAGCCTTCGTCTTTGTCCACTTTTATCGAGGTTTAAATGATAAATGATGCTGTAAAAATTTAGTGCACAACTTGGTTGGATGTATGCGCATATGGTGGAATGATTACCAGAATGAAGTTAGTAACCAGCCGTCACCTTCCCTGGTTACAGTGTTTTGTGCGTGCGGGGAGGGCGTTTAAGATCTTCTCTCTTTGCAGAGTTCAAAGGCGCAGTACAGTGTGTTAACTGTAGGCACCGTACGTGCAGTGCCCTGGTTCCCCAGAATGCTTCCACCCTACTGCAGTGTTGGACCCTTTGACAGATCTCTCCGCACTCGCCCACCCCCGGCCTGGCACATGCTGCACTCCTCCTTGGTTTCTATGCGCTCATCATTTCACACCCCACATTTATGCAACCACAAGGTAACTTTGCTTTGTCTTTGGCTGACTTATTTCTCTTGGCCTAATGCCCTCATGGTTCAGCCATATTTTGCAAATGGCTGGGCTTCCTTCTTATAGCTGAAAAAATTGTAAACACATATTGCTAGCTGCACTGTATACAATGGAATATTGTGTGTGTGTCTGTATATCTCACCACCATTGCTTTATCCGACTGTTGACGGGCACCTAGGCTGTTTCCATTTCTTGGTTCTTGTGAATAATGCTGCTGTGAATGTGGGAATCCAGAGGTCTTTGAGCTACTGATTTTTTTCTTTTGGATATACAGTATATCCAAATGTGGGACTGCCGGATCGTGATCGTTCTACCTTTAATTCTTTGAGGAACCTCTGTACCACTTTCAAAGGTCTCACTTTTGAGTCCCTGGAGCTCCAGCAAAGTACCTGGTACACCAGAATGGGTTAAAAATCTTTCTTAGTTAAATAGTGAAGTTGGTGTATGTTGTAAAATTGTTACTGTATTGTAAATATGGTAACATGGGTCAGACCAGGAAAGGACTGAATACTCAAAAAAGAGAAAAGTGTGTGTGCCTGTGTACATGTGTGTGCACTCTTGCAGTCAGGTAGTAGATGTGATTCAGGCAGATGGTCCCGTGTCTCAGTACCCACCACTCAGCATAATCCTGGCTGCAGGTTGCAACCACTCAGCTCAATGGAGTGAAATGATGCAATCACACATGCAGAGTCTGCAGAAACCATGAGTGGATGGTCTAATCCAGCAGTTCTGAGACACCTGTGAAGACCCAAGCTTTCTCTTTCCACTCTGCCCTCAGCCTTTTCCTTCAAGTTCAGAATGTGGCTGTAGAGGTTCTAGCCAATGTGCTTTACAACACTGGCTGGGGAGGGCCTTGGAAACCCCTGCAGGAGCTCCTTTCTATCTCAGGACAAAGAGGGAGGTTAGGAGAGTCCATCCCAGCCTGACCACTGCAAAGTGCCTGCATTGGCTTTGACTGCTGGAGGTCCCTGAGCTGGGGATGCATCTCCACCCTGGGTGGTTAACAAAGTTAGAGCTGTGCAGGTAAGGACAAGGGATACTTGGGCATTGTGTGGTAAGCAGCAGGGCTGTCTGCAGGCTAATGCAGGCCCCAGGACAAAGGTGAAGTGACTTTAAGGCCTTTTCCTCCCTGATAAGGTGCAGTGAATTTATCAGGGGCAAAGCAGGGTCCCTTTCCTCTGTCCTGCCCGCAGGCCATGCCTTGGCCACAGCTGCCTGTCGGGAGCTGGCACAGAGCACAGCCAGGTCATCAGCTGCTTGTCAAGGGTGGGGTGGCATCAACGGCCACTCTTCTGCCATGAGCCCAGCCCAGGCCTCCTCAGACTCTCAGCTCTGCCACGTTTTCCTCAGGAGAGAGTTCAGACTCCAGAGTCCCGGGACCTGAGGGAACTCCAGGGAGGCAAGCGTGCTGTCTTCTCTGGTTGGACGTGTAGCTGGGCCCAAGGCTTGTTCATGGTGAGACTTGGGTATACTGGGGGCAACTGTCTCTGCTAGGGGTCTCTGATTTTCTATAGCAACCCCATTCCCCACAAAATTCAACTTGTAAACTCCCAGGAGTAGACTCTCAAGCCTCCTAGACCTCCTATGTTTGTCTTGTTGGAGAGCTGTGGAAGAGGCTCATGGCCCTCCAGGGTCTGCCTCTTTCACCAGAAACAGCCAGTGGGGAGACTTTAGTAACCTTGGATGGGGGTGAAGCCTCGGTCCCATGCCAGAAGCAGCAACAGCAGCTTCTAGAAATTGTACCACAGCCTGGCATCCTAAAGAATGTCTTGGAGAATTGAAACTGGTTCTCCCAGACATGTTTCAGGAGCAGCTAAAATGAGACTCAGTAGGAGGTTACACCTGGCTGGCAGCCCGCAGAATGTTGCCTACGCTCTGTGCCAGGGGCGGGTGTGTGCAGTGCTGCTGCCGATCCTCTGGTAGCGCTTCAGCCTGTGACTCTCCAGTCCTCAGTCAGACCGCCTTCAGTAGGATATTGTGTTTCTTTCATATTTTCTCAAGGTCAGCACTCATTTGCTCTTTATCGGTTGGCTTTTCAATGTACCCTTATAAAGGAAAACTGCTCACTCAGGTTCCAGAGTTTTCTGATTTGTGTGGAGTTGCTGTCCTGTCCATGAGCATGCACTGAGGTGGAAGCTGTCAGACCCAGGCTGCTGAGTGAGGGATTTCCTGGGCCTCTGCCCGCAGATAGGAAGTGGGAAGTTGAGGTGCAATGGTACTTGCTCCCTCCGTCACAGAGAAATCCCCTTCCCACCTCTCCGGAGCTGCTGGGGCTTCGCGGCTGTCCTTGGGCGCCTCAGCCCGCAGCTGCTCCACTGCGTGGCATGGCACCCCCGAGCATCACTTGTCTTCCTGTGAGCGCACGGTCATGTTGGATGGGGGGTCCACTGCCCTCCAGGGTGGCCACGGCTGCAGCCACCCAGTCTCAGAACGGGGACCTTTGGAGACCCTGGGAACTCCAACAGGACAGCAGTGGACCCCCCAGGCCAGTTCAACCCACACGCAAAGTGTCTTGTTCAGTGACAAGCCTGGGACGCGGAGGGCAGGTGGGGGTGAGGCGCTGCTGTGGCTGCTGCAGATCGCGGTCGGCCCCGGCGAGTGCACCTGCCCCCTGCACTCTGCATTTTGCAGGACAGGAGGGACAGACCCCTCGACAGAGGGGAGCAAGGGAGGCCACTGAGGAACCTGAGGCACTCCATGGCCAGCGCCCGGAGGCCTTGCTTTCAGTTGTTTGTATTGGAGAACACAGCCACGCATCACCTGAGCACAGCTGGAAACACGCTCATTGCGCCTGGATCGCCGAGGCAGGGCACAGCCGGCTGGAACCGCTGGCCGCCAGTAGCTGTCGCTTCAGCGGGGACTGGGGCCCTGCGCCGCCTGGGGTCCTCGCCAGCTCTCGCTGCGGTCCGTACCTGCCCACTGGTCTGCCGCTCTGGCGGTGCCTGGACAGTGGTGTTTTGTTACCACGGCCTTGCACTACGTGCAGCCTGGAACGGGTGCTGAGATTCCACTGATGTCGCTGTTTCTACTCAGGATCGCATTGTCTCTTCGAGGTATTTTCTGATTCCGTGTGAATTTTAGAATTGCTTTTTCTAGTTCTGTGAAGACTGTTGTTGGCATTTTAATGAGGATAGCATTAAATCTGTATATTGCTTTTGAAAGTATGGCAGTTTTAAAGGTATTAATTCTGTCATCTTCCATTTTTTAATGTCTTCTTCATTTTTTTCTTCCGTGTTCTGTAATCCTCATTACAGAGACTGGTTAAATCTATTCTTCAGTATCTTTTTCAAAAGTCATTATGGGTGGAGTGGTGTTCCTGATTTCCTTATTGTTGGAGAGAAAAGCTGTCACTTTTTTGTGTGCTGTTTTTTTTTTTTAAATCCTTCCACTTTGCTGAGTTTGTTTATCGGATCTGAGGGCATCTGGTGGAGTCTTCAGGGTCTTCTCTGAAAAGGATCAAATGACCTTCAAATAATAACGTGACCTCCTCCTTTCCTACTGTGTCCCTTGTACGGCTTTCTGTTGCTCATTTACTCTGGCTAATGCTTCCAGTGCTACAGCGAACAGAGATGGTGAGAGCAGATGTGCTTGTCTCAGTACCAAGTGCAGAGGAGCATCTGCAGCCTTTTCCTCTCGGTGATGTTGGCTGTGGGTTTGTCATATATGTCTGGTAGAAATTTGAGGAAAGATCCTTCTATACCTGTGTTCTTTGGCATTTTTAAACTTCAGGGGATGACTTAACTCATCAGGTACAGGTCATTCCTTCATCTCAAAAGCAGAAGGGAAGGTACCTGGCTCTCTGGTCACTTTAGCATCACCTTCATAGCTGCTTGGAGACAGCGATTTAATGAGTAAGAACCACCCCGTGTATTACCCAGTTACATACAGCACCTTGCCAGCACCCATGAGGAGGCGGGATTGCTGCGCTCATTTATAGACAAGGAAATAGCAACACAGAAAGCAGGGAAACGTCACCAAGGCCCACAGCTCACCCGTGGCAGAGCTGAGCTGAAACCTACACATTTCTGACTCCAGAGCCCCCACAGCATGTGTGGTTTACAGCAGCTTCCTGTGTGTGTCTCCCTGACACCAGGGCATGGTGGTGATGGTCCTGCTACCCACACGGCCCAGAGAAGGTCCTGGAGGATGCGCTTTTTTCTCTTATCGAAGGTGACAGCACAGGCTTACGGCCTTTCAGATTTTATAGGTTGGCATTAGCTCCACTGTTCCTCTTCCGTTCTCGGTCCCTAAACAGTAGTGGAACAACTTCTGAATGGTGGACACTGTGCTGGCTGTGAGAGATGAGGTGAATGAGCAGGCTACGTGCTCACACCCGGCTAAGGTAGGACTGCGGCCAAGGCAGGGCCACAGGGAGGTGTGGTGTCAGAGTGACATGGACGTGTCAGGCTGGGTCCCAATTGCAACAAGAGAAACAGATCTACTGTGGAGTAATAAGGCGAGTGGCTCCCAGCTGTCTGTCATCTTATGCTGCTCAGTGAAGGAAGGAAGTGAGGGCCCAGAAGTGGAGGCTGTGAGCTAAGGTATTTAGCCATCGTTGTGCCCACAGCCTGGGGTGACCGTGACACGGTGACAACGGCTGCAGCTCTGGGTTGGGCTCTTTGGAGCCTGAGTTGAAAGCCGCCTCACCTTTGCTGTGCCTGCCCTTGGCTTTTCTCATCTCTGGCCGTCCGCTCAGCCTGTGCACTGGGTGGCCACCCTCTTCCCAGTGAAGGAGCTCGGTGGGAGGGACGAGGATGGGAAGGACCCAGTGGTCACCAACTGTAGGTCACCAACTGCAGCCTCTGAACCCACAGCTCAGAGGAAGGATGTGCAGGCCAGTGTTCTTGTCCTCATGCTTTCTTGGCTTTTTATTGTTTTGGTTTTACCTCCCTCTACCCTAAGTTTTCAAGTGGCAGCGTCTGTCTTCCCTGTGGTTGTCCAAGAACAACTGGGGTTTCGCTTTGTATTTA